CGGCGCATCCGCGCCTCCTACCAGTTCAACATTACACTGAATGGAAAGCCGCAGGCGACGTGGACGGCGGAGAACAAGACCGAGGCGAATGGCTGCTGCTACAGTGGGCCGTATCGAAACGGGAAAGCCGACTGCATCGTCACCGTCGAGGATGAGGACTTTATTCGGCTGATGTTTGGCAAACTGAATCCGCAGAGGGTAAGCGGAGAAAAAAGAAAATCATCAAAAAAAGAAGCTTTTTAAAACTGTTTCTTTTTTCATTTCCAGGCATTTATGCTCGGCAAGTTGAAGGTAAAGGGAAACATCATGCTGCTGCAGAAGCTCAACTCCCTCTGGCTGGAGCTGCTCAAGTCGGGCAAGGCGCCCGAGTTTCCCTACATTATGGAGCTGATGTCCAAGACGGTAATTTTTCTTATCATCTTATCATGCAGTTATCAACTTTATCTAACCATTTCTAATTTCATCGCCCNTGGAGCTGATGTCCAAGACGGTAATTTTTCTTATCATCTTATCATGCAGTTATCAACTTTATCTAACCATTTCTAATTTCATTCCTCTTATCAGGACCTCATCCCCGGCCTTCGCAGCGAGGTGATGGTCATTGAGCTGGTGCAACGCCTCATTCGCCTCGCCTACCTCTGCACCGAGGTCGCCTCGCTGGTTGGCTTTGAAGTGCTCAAAAGTGATGGGAAGATTGGGGCGCAGTACAGTGAGTTGGCCTTTTGTGAAGTTTTTATAGAACTTTACTAAATATCCTCTTCTATTTTTTCAGCACTGGACTTCACCAAGACCAAGGTGACGGGTGTCTTTGAGCGCGGCCTCCCGCCACCCGACCCAAAGTACTGCGTGCTGACGATGAGCGACGAGGACTTCTGCCGGCTGACCAATCACAAGTTCACCCTCGTCCAGGCGATCGAAGCTGGTCGAGTCAAAGTTCGCGGAGATGCGACCATTCCCCCGAAGATTGCCATCATCTTCAGTACGCCCACGTCGAGGGTGAAGCTTTGAGGGGGAACCTCGTTCTTCGGTATCTTTTTTTCTATTTATTCTTCTGTTTTATCCTCCCCCTTTCCTTCTTGAGCATAAATTGAGCGATTCAGACTGTGTAGACTTTATTTTACATGTTGCTGCAAAAAACGACTCTGATGAAGGAAAGACAGAATGCTTTGTATATGTGGTAAGACACTGTTTTGTTTGTACACAAGAGTGGCTTCTTGTTCTTCAGAGTTCTATTCTTCTACTTCAATCCATCGAGCTCTATTTGGACTTCTTTGAGCTGAGCGCCTCGTACTTGTTCTTGCTCGAGTTCCACAGGAAGTAGGGGAAGAGCACCGTGGAGAGGGAGATGAGCAGGAAGGCGCCCCAGTCGTACTGTGAATGATAGAAGAGAAAATGGTTAGCGGAATTTAGAAATTGTGTGTGCGTCTGTTGCTTACGTAGTGGGGCGAGAAGAGCTTGTTGAACTCCTTCAGCGAGACGATGTAGCCCTCGCCGGGCTCGCTGGTGTAGCCGATCTGCACCTCGGCGGCGCCCTCGCTCAGGTAGCTGATCTCGCCGGCGGTGAAGTTGAAGCGGCCGCGGATGCCCTCCAGCGGTCGGACGACGACGGTGTGCGTGACGTTGGCAGAGCTGGTGATAGTGGAGAGGATTTGTGGTTAGAGAAGGTTGGCAATTTCGAAATGGGTTTTCCTTGTCTACTTACGGAGCAATGCGGGGAATGGTGAACTTGGTGGAGCCGCTGATCACCTCGAACTGAGCAGGGGAGAAGGCCGCATCGGTGACCTGGACGCTGGTGGCCGGGCTGGTGGGTTTCGAAATGGATAACATGTCAGTAAGGGTAAACACAAAGGCTTCACCCCTCGCCGCTTACCTTCCGCCAACGTTGAAGATGTTGTAGTGAATGAGAATGTCCTTGCTCTCCACCAGGTACTTGTTGAGCACCTGTTTCTCAACGAGGAGACGCGCCGGCAGCGAGGCGTCCTCCTCCGCCGAGTTGACCGCCGTCAGGGCGACGCTGAAGAGGGCGAGCACCAGCAGGGCAAGGTGGGAGGCAGGTTGCCGGAGAAGGAAGGTCATGGTTCTTCGGGAGGTTGATGTGAAGAGGGTGACGGAAGAAAAAAAGGGACACTGGTTCAAGAAAAAAGGATGGGAACAGATCAGGGAAAATGGGTTGGCAAGGGCAGGCACTGGTTCGGTCACAGGGATGAGAAGACGAAGACGATGTTGGTGGTGGTGAGGGTGATCACAGCGCCTGACGACTACTGGTCAATGCTTGCTGCTGGTGGTGATGATGGTGCCAGCCAGTCAAGTTGGTAAGGAGACGTGGAAAGCGAGTTTGAATCGGTCTCAATCTTCTCTTCTCTTCTCTTCACTTCTGCCTCTCTGTGTTTGTGTGCACTGTCATGACGAGCCGCAGCTGCAGCAGTCGCCGGTGGTGGCTGACGTAAGCAAAGACCTGAAGACGACGGCGACGGCGGCGGCGGCCAATCTCTGACTGGCCGACTCTCCGCAGAGGACGTTCGGGAGCATTTAAATCGCAAGTGGTCGGATTGGGGTATCGGTTCCATTTGGAACTGAGGGGGTGAACTGGGGTAACTTGTGTCTTTTTTGGTATTTTGGTTATTGAAAGTCTAAATCGGAAGTTCAAGAAAGTCTTTTTCTTCTAGAAGCACAGCACTTTTGAACTGTGACGCTTAGTTCAAAAGCAGTGAACAGCTTTTGCTCTCATCCTATAGATAACTATTTTTTGAACACATTTTCCATCTTCTATCAAAGTTCAAAGGATATCATCAGACGTACAGCCATCACCATTTTCTAAACCTTGAACTTGAGAAGATATCAGCTTTCAACTTCAAAGCTGCAGCGCGCGCGTCAAGTCACGCGCTCTATGAGCGGCCGCCATCGGCCAGCGCATAAAAGAGGAAGCAGGTGGAAATAGCAGCACTGCCAGCACTCGGAAGCGTGCTTTCACTCTGCGCCTCTCTCTTCAGTGCGTTTCGCCACACCAACGTTGCACAGGCAGGCAGGCTACTCAAACGCGCACCGAACGACACTCGGCCTTTTTCTCATCGTCCGTCGCGCCGTGCAGTCGCTCTCCCTATTCCTCGCTTCTGAGATAGAGAGCACGTCAACCGACACCTTTTCCCTTCACTGTTGCACCCCCCGATCACCCAACCAACTGATCCAAGATGGTAAGTAGATGATGATGATAATGATGATCACCAGTGTGATGATGATGTTCGAGCCGGGTTGTTTACCACCCCCGAGCCGCTTCTGCCAAAGTGAGTACAGTGCCTAACGATGCCTTCTATTTCCTCAGGTCAACTTCACCGTCGACGAAATCCGCGTTCTGATGAACAAGAAGCGGAACATCCGTAACATGTCCGTCATCGCCCACGTCGATCACGGCAAGTCCACGCTGACCGACTCGCTGGTCTCGAAGGCGGGCATCATCGCCGGCGCCAAGGCCGGCGAGATGCGCTTCACCGACACGCGCAAGGACGAGCAGGAGCGCTGCATCACCATCAAGTCCACGGCCATCTCGATGTACTTCGAGCTCCGCGACGAGGACATGGTCTTCATCAAGCAGGAGGACCAGCGTGAGGCCGGCCTCAAGGGCTTCCTCATCAATCTGATCGACTCGCCCGGCCACGTTGACTTCTCCTCGGAGGTGACGGCTGCGCTGCGCGTCACCGATGGCGCTCTCGTCGTCGTCGACTGCGTCTCTGGTAAGTGCAGATCTGACTCATGTGACCACCACATGTGCTCTCTCTTCTTTCACACAAACCTTCCGATTCTAAATCGATGTTCTCCACCCTCAGGTGTGTGCGTCCAGACGGAGACTGTCCTCCGACAGGCCATCGCCGAGCGCATCAAGCCCGTCCTCTTCATGAACAAGATGGACTTGGCCATGCTGACGCTGCAGCTCGAGCAGGAGGACATGTACCAGAAGTTCACGCGAATCGTCGAGAACGTGAACGTCATCATCTCGACGTACGCCGACGAGAACGGCCCGATGGGCGACATTCGCGTCGACCCCTCGAAGGGCAGCGTGGGCTTCGGCTCCGGCCTGCACGGCTGGGCCTTCTCGCTGAAGCAGTTCAGCGAGCTGTACGCCGCCAAGTTCAAGATCGACGTCGACAAGCTGATGGGCCGCCTGTGGGGCGAGAACTTCTACAACCCGGCGACGAAGAAGTGGGGCAAGCGCTTCGACGAGGGCTACAAGCGCGCCTTCTGCATGTTCGTCCTCGACCCCATCTTCAAGGTCTTTGACGCCATCATGAACTTCAAGAAGGACGAGACGGCGAAGCTGCTGGAGAAGATGAACATCGTCCTGAAGGGCGACGACAAGGACAAGGACGGCAAGAACCTGCTGAAGGTGGTGATGCGCACCTGGCTGCCCGCCGGCGACTCTCTCCTGCAGATGATTGCCATTCACCTGCCCTCGCCCATCACTGCGCAGAAGTACCGAATGGAGCTGCTGTACGAGGGCCCGCACGACGACGAGGCCGCCGTGGCCATCAAGAGCTGCAACCCCGAGGGCCCGCTGATGATGTACATCTCGAAGATGGTACCGACCAGCGACAAGGGCCGCTTCTACGCCTTTGGCCGTGTCTTCTCCGGCACCGTCGCCTCGGGCCAGAAGGTGCGCATCATGGGCCCGAACTACGTGCCCGGCAAGAAGGACGATCTGGTGGAGAAGGCCATTCAGCGGTAAGTGATCATTTGGAGTTGTTTGGGATGATCCGGTTTCTAATTTATCTACTTCAACTATTTCCACCCAGAACCGTTCTGATGATGGGCCGCTACGTCGAGTCCATTGAAGACGTGCCCTGCGGCAACATCTGCGGCCTGGTCGGCGTCGATCAGTTCCTCGTGAAGACCGGCACCATCAGTACCTTCAAGGACGCCCACAACATGAAGGTGATGAAGTTCTCGGTGTCGCCGGTCGTGCGAGTGGCCGTCGAGCCGAAGAACCCCGCCGATCTGCCGAAGCTGGTGGAGGGCCTGAAGCGTCTGGCGAAGTCCGATCCCATGGTGCAGTGTATCATTGAGGAGTCGGGCGAGCACATTGTCGCCGGCGCCGGTGAGCTTCACCTGGAGATCTGTCTGAAGGATCTGGAGGAGGACCACGCGCAGATTCCCCTCAAGACCTCCGACCCGGTGGTGTCCTACCGAGAGACCGTCTCCGAGGAGTCGGAGATCACCTGCCTCTCGAAGTCGCCCAACAAGCACAATCGACTGTACATGAAGGCGGTGCCGATGAAGGACGGCGTCGCGGAGGACATTGACAAGGGCGACATCTCGGCGAAGGACGACTTCAAGCTCCGCGCCCGCTACCTGATTGACACCTACGAGTGGGACGCCACTGATGCGCGAAAGATCTGGTCCTTTGGGCCGGAGGGCACCGGGCCCAATCTGCTGGTCGACGTCACCAAGGGTGTGCAGTACCTGAACGAGATTAAGGACAGCGTGGTCGCCGGCTTCCAGTGGGCCACCAAGGAGGTATGTGGCTATTTCGAAATGGTTTGTGACTTTGATTTTTTAACTCCTTTTCTTCCCTTTCTTCAGAGCGTCCTCTGCGAGGAGAACATGCGCAACGTTCGCTTCAACATTCACGACGTGACGCTGCACGCTGACGCCATTCACCGCGGCGGTGGCCAGATCATCCCCACCGCCCGTCGCTGCCTGTACGCCAGTCTGCTGACGGCGAAGCCCCGCCTGATGGAGCCCGTCTACCTGGTGGAGATTCAGTGCCCGGAGTCGGCAGTCGGTGGCATCTACGGCGTGCTCAACCGTCGCCGCGGTCACGTCATCGAGGAGCAGCAGGTGGTGGGCACGCCGATGTTCAACGTGAAGGCGTACCTGCCCGTCAACGAGTCCTTCGGCTTCACCGCCGACCTGCGCTCGAACACCGGCGGCCAGGCCTTCCCGCAGTGCGTCTTCGACCACTGGCAGATTCTGCCCGGCGACCCGCTGGACGGCAAGTCCCGCCCCTACGGCATCGTCATGGAGACGCGAAAGCGCAAGGGCCTCAAGGAGGCGCTGCCCGAGCTGGACAACTACTTTGACAAGCTCTAAGCAGTGGAGGACCTAACACTACCTAAAGGGAACACCACTCCTCTCCCTCCTCCCCTCGTCTTTTCTTTTTCTATTCTCTCCTCTCCCTCTCTTCGAAATGCTTTTCTATGTTTTTAAATCAATCTCTTCTCCTCTCTCCCCTGCTGCTAACATGCGCGCGTCTGAAGAAGAGCTGAAGTGTTGACACCATCCTGTTTGAAGTGTGTGCGCGCTCGCCAAACGCAGATATAATAACGAATAAAAATAAAATAACTGAATAAAGTAACACCAAACCTATTACTCCCAATAAAACTGCTGATCCAGTATTTTTTGTTCATTTTTGTTGGAAACAATTTCCCGATGACGGGGGAAGTTCGATTTTGCTGGTGGTGGTATAAAAGCGACCGTAGTTGACGTGTGCTTTTCATTTGCAATTCTTTTTTGTCATCTTCGCTCACTCACTCCAAGCAAACAAAATGTTCTCCGTGGACGAAGCGGTCAAGAGTTTGTTCTTTCCACCTCCTTCTGAAGATTCCAAGCAGGATTCACCGATTCCCACCTCCTCGAGCACTTTCGCCTACCTCCTCGACCATCACTGGGACCAGCTGGTGGTCACCCTGCTGGTGGCTCCTCTCCAGTGGCTGCACATCTCCCACCTGCTCTACAGCACCGAATGGCTGGCCTACGGGATGATCGGCAAACTCCTGCTCCTCCTCTACATCACCTTCTGCTTTGCCTTCTGGGAAGAGCTCCGCCTCTACACCTACCTCCTCGCCCGCCGCCTCCAATCGGGCGACTCCCTGCCGGAGCTGGTCGCCAAGTTGTGCTCCGCCGGGCGTGAGGTGCACAAGCACACCGCTCCGCTGGTGGGCGAGGTCACTCGAGTCGTCTCCAAGGTGGGCGTTCAGGTGGGCGGACAGGCGGCGCAGATGATCGCTGGGAAGATCGGCGGTGGAGGTGGAGCTGGTAGAACTGAATCGTCTCCGCGTTCTCCCCTCGCCGCCGGCAACTCTGATGAGAACTTTACCCGTCGCTCTGAAAAGATGGATTAGAGGATTTGAGGAGGAGAAGGCCCTCTTCATCGTCATCATTCTCATCTTCTTTCTGATGATCATCACAAAGTCTGTTTTATTCTCTTTAAAACTTTACAACTTGTCAAAGTTGTTAGAGTCCNGAGAAGGCTTTTTATCGTCATCATTTCCACCTTTCTGATGATCATCGCCGTCTGTTTTATTCTCTTTACAACTTTACTTGCTGTCAAAGTTGTTAGAGTCTTTTCCGCATAAAGTCTTGTCGTCATTTCGAAGTCTTGTCGTCTTAACTTTTTTTTTCTTCGTGTCGATTCTGCTGCCACCTGCGCGTGAGTGGGCAAAAGTGAACAGAAGAAGAAGGATTCCCCGCTGCTGCTGCTTCTTTTCTTGGGGAGAATAAACAAAACAACAAAGTTGGCCTTTCGCAGTTTGACAGCAGCAGCAGTAGCAGCAGATTCTTGAGCAGCTCTTTGATCATCAGATCATCATCACCTCGCATCAAGATGATGAAACTTTCGCACCGGGCACTGATCGCCAGCCTCCTCTGGACCGTCTTTGTCATCCTTCTCGCGAGCAAGGCGGAGGGCAAGAGCAAGTGGTAAGTGGCTTTAAGAGGAGTTCCCCTTCCTCTTTCTATTCTCATTCACACATTCTCATTTTCTTTTACCAACTCATCAGGAGCTGGACCTTCATCCTCACGCCCATCTGGGTGATGGACATCATGACCTTCGTGTTGATCTACGTCCGCCGACCCTCGGACACCTACACCACCAATCCTCTCATCTACTACTGCCTGGCAGCGAAGGTGGCCTTCCAGCTGCTGCTGGTCATCCGCCTGGACCTCTTCGAGGCGATGCCCATCTACGTGATCATGTCGCCGCTGTGGTGCTTCCTTTTTATGGCCGCCACCAACCTCTTCCAGACGATCATCATCGCCCCCATCGACGTCAACTAGTCAACAAAAAGGTTACACAAGAGTAGAAGAAGAAGAAGAAGAAGACAAAGTGTGTACAGTTCTTTCGTGTTCTTTTGTCATCAGTTTTATCAGCACCACCATCACCATCATCAGTAGAACTCCTTGGGAACCGCCTTCACGTCAATCGCCGAGATCTCCTCGCCGATGCCGCACAGGTTGCCGCCGATGGCGATGTGCAGGTAGCCGTCTACGCCGAAGCCCGGGCCCCAGGTGTTTCGCACCTTGTAGAAGGGTATGTCACCTTTGAAAAACAAGGTAGAGAGATTATTAAACTTCCCCTTCTACAGATCATCACCCCCCACTCATCACCACTTCCACTCACCCGACATATCGTAGCCAGTGATCTGCACCGCGTGGTTCAGATCATTGCTGCAGTGGTACTGAATGATGCCGCCCAGGTAGTGCTGCCAGGTGGAGGCATCGACGGCGGCAATCAGCGGCCCATGGTGGGCGAGCAGCTGTACAATGGCCTGCTCGCGGCTGACGAAGCTACAGAAGAAGAAGAAGAAAAGGAGGTAAGAAAGCTGATTATCATCAACATTTTCTAAAACCACAACTCACTTATTGCAGGTGTAGTTGGAGCGAATCTGCACCCCAAGCGCGTCCTTCTGGGCGTGGCACACCTCGGCGTGGTCCAGACTGGGCCCGTAATCAGCCGCCCGCTGGACGGTGACGTTTGCCTTGTGGAGCCAGTCCAGCGCCGCACAGGTGTCCCCGCCGGCGCAGCCCTTGTTGTCCTCTCCGGAACAGTCCACCAGCTGCTGGACGCTGAACTCGGTCAGGCGGCCGCCAGTTTTGATGGCCACCATCGACTCTATGGTGGCCACGGTGCTGTGCGCCCAGCAGGCGCCGCAGCTGCCCTGGCTGCGCACGGCACTGACCGCCGCCCGGTCGCGCCAGTCAAAGGCGGGCGGCACCTTGAGGGCGGCCGGGCTGGCAAGCCTAACTTTGTGAGAGGAGGAGAAGGAGGAGGAGGAGGGACGGTGCCGGGGAAGGCGGTTTCGACGCCGCTCATCTTTAGTTCTCGCAATTCGTTTGTTCTTGGCCACTGAATCGAGGATTAGGAAGAAGTTAACATCAGTTGGTTATCATCTCCATNCCAGTCAAAGGCGGGCGGCACCTTGAGGGCGGCCGGGCTGGCAAGCCTAACTTTGTGAGAGGAGGAGGAGGAGGAGGAGGGGCGGTGCCGGGGAAGGCGGTTTCGACGCCGCTCATCTTTAGTTCTCGCAATTCGTTTGTTCTTGGCCACTGAATCGAGGATTAGGAAGAAGTTAACATCAGTTGGTTATCATCTCCATCATCATCACCCCCATCACCCCACCCCCACTTACCCTTGGCCAGAAACTCCTCCGTCGTCAGGTCGGCAAACTGCGTCACGCCGAAGCGGGCGCCACCTTCATGTGCCCCGTGCGCCCGGTTCAGCCGCTCGATGGTGGCCAGCGACTGGCTGAAGATGGCCAGCCGGCGGGTGTACTCGGCCATTGACTCAGCATGCTGTGGTCCATAGGTGCGGTTGTGCACTGCCATAAAGTGACCGAACTGCGCCTCCACCTCCTCGAGGAAGTCCGCCGAGCGGCGCAGCGTCACCAGGTGCAGCAGAAGGTGCACGAAGAGGATCATCGTGGATGTGGGTGTGAAGATGTCTTCAGCAAAAATGTGTTTTTGCTGTCTAAAAGAAGAGGATTTTTGTCGCCACAAAGTGCACCAATAGAAAGTGACGATCAGCACTCAAAGAAGTAAAACTGATGATCTTGCAGAAGTCGTGTTGTTATCACCACCAGCACCAGCACTAACCAAAAAATTGCTTCAGATTGTGTGTTTTCTGTTGACTAGCACAGTTTATTACTAAAAGAGCAAAAGGTTCAATTAATCAGTTGATGCTCATGATGGACACACAAACTGGGGGCCGGACTCTCTTGCGCACTGCTGCTGCTGCTGTTCCAGAAACAGTTCAGTGGTGCAACGGGTGGTGGCCATTTAAATAGGGGACATTTAAACGCTTGGGTTACTATCCCAACGGTCGCTGCAACTTTTTTCGGTGTTTGAGTGCCGGTAGTTCAGAAAAGTTGCAGACAGATGTCGCCATTGTCGGAGATGAAGAAAAGATTGTGCCTCTCTGTTGTACGGCAGCAGCACTCTTGACCAGAGCACTTCTTTCCCCTCTCTTTTGCTCTCATCACTCGCTGCGACCTGGTTTCCCAGACACTGCACTCTCCGCATCAACACTGCACTTCTAAGAATATTCTCTGACAGCAGCAGCAGCCACGATGAGCCGAAACGTCATCGTCTCCGCCACCGGGCGACACACGGCAACGGTAGGTGCATTCTAGAATTATCTCTGCTGAATTTATGCCCTTGATTTTGTTCATCTTTTATTCTAAATCTAGATCATCTTTCTGCATGGCCTCGGANCTCTGTTGTACGGCAGCAGCACTCTTGACCAGAGCACTTCTTTCCCCTCTTTTGCTCTCATTACTCGCTGCGACCTGGTTTCCCTCTAGACACTGCACACACAGTCTCCGCATCAACACTGCACTTCTAAGAATATTCTCTGACAGCAGAAGCAGCAGCAGCCACGATGAGCCGAAACGTCATCGTCTCCGCCACCGGGCGACACACGGCAACGGTAGGTGGTGCAGTGTTCTAGAATTATCTCTGCTGAATTTATGCCCTTGATTTTGTTCACCTTTTATTCTAAATCTAGATCATCTTTCTGCATGGCCTGGGCGACACGGGCCACGGCTGGTCCTCCAGCATTGCCGCCATCAAGCCGGCCAACGCCAAGTCGATCTGTCCGACGGCGTGAGTTTCTCCCTTTGTTTTGGTTTTCTTAACTTTCACTTCTATTTTCTCATCCTTTTTTAGAAACACCATGCCGGTGACGCTGAACGGCGGCTTTCCGATGCCCAGCTGGTTCGACCTCTACTCCCTGNTTGTTCATCTTTTATTCTAAATCTAGATCATCTTTCTGCATGGCCTCGGAGACACGGGCCACGGCTGGTCCTCCAGCATTGCCGCCATCAAGCCGGCCAACGCCAAGTCGATCTGTCCGACGGCGTGAGTTTCTCCCTTTGTTTTGGTTTTGGTTTTGTCATCATTTTCACATCTATTATCTCTTTTTAGAAACACCATGCCGGTGACGCTGAACGGCGGCTTTCCGATGCCCAGCTGGTTCGACCTCTACTCCCTCGACTCCACCGGGAAGGTGGACGAGCACGGCATCGAGCGGGCGAAGACGCTGGTCCACGAGCTGATCAACAACGAGGAGAAGGCGGGCATCCCCAGCAATCGCATTCTGCTGGGCGGATTCAGCCAAGGTGGCGCCCTGGCGCTGTACAGCGGCCTGACGTACAGCAAACCGCTGGCGGGCATTCTCGCGCTCAGCTGTTGGCTGCCGCTGCATGAGAAGCTGAGCTGGGCCGGCTCGCCGAATGTAAACACGCCGGTGCTGCAGTGTCACGGCGATGCGGATCACATTGTGAGGATCTTAAAAAGATAGCTTCGATTTCTCTAACCTTTTTCTTTCCACCCTAGGTTCCACTCCGCTGGGGCCAGCTGACCAGCGAGCTGCTGAAGAAGAACCTCAGCAAGTACCAGTTCAAGGTGTACCGCGGTCTGGCGCATAGCTCAAGTGATGACGTAAGTTTTGTAAGCTTTGTTTGTTTATTTTTCTAAAAAACTTTTTTTTACACTTAGGAAATGGACGACGCGAAGAAGTTTGTTCAGGAGCGCCTGGCCGAGGGCGGTAGCAGCAACTAACTAATTAACTAACTAACTAACCAACAAACCACTTATCTAGAGCCAGTTATCCTTCACGTTCATCACCGCCACTGTTACTAGATTGCTAAGATTATTATTAAAGGACTTGGGACTTTTGACGACGGCGTACAGCGGCACAGGCTGCTTTGATTTTTCCAGCCCCAGCCTCTCCACCAGCGCCTGCTGACTGCTCTTCAGCTGCTCCAGGGCGGCCACCTTGAGGAGGGCGGTGGCCCGGCAGCGGGCCGCATCGAGGCTGAAGCAGCCAAACTCGACGAAGCCAATCGCCTCCTCATCACCTTCTGCCGCCATCACCTTCACCCGTTCTCCATCCTGCTCACTCTTCGCCCTGAGGTAGGCCTCGAGGGAGGCGGCGTCCGGCGGATATATCAGCGCCTCGTTTCGCCCACCCCCAGGCCTTCCCTTGACGTATTCGAGGGTGACGTAGACAGTGGTCGTTCGGCTGTCCTTTTCCAGCTGTGCTTTTTGAAGAGCATCTTTGGCGTTTGAAGAGGATGGGGATAAAGCTGCTGCTGCTGATTCGAGGTTCGCCTGTCGTACCACGTAGAACTGCTCCGCCGAGAGAAAGTCCAACTTTGGAAGGTCGACCGGTTTTTCCTCCTGTTCGCTGTGGTGATGGTGATGGTGATGATCAGCATAGCCGACGCTAGGAAAGAAGGTGGAGCGCGTCTCCAGGGCAAGCACCTCCAGGTCACGGTGGCCGCCCACCAGGTGGGACATGTTGGCCGTCAGGCGGTTCCAAACTGCCTTTAGGTGCACCAGCGGAACTGCAAGCTCCAGTAGCTCCACGGGAGCACCTCGATGAGCAGCTCCAGCTCCACCAGAGCTCATGATGTTCAGCTGACGACGGTGGACGGCAAAGGTGATCGGGGGTGGTGGTGGAGATGAGGATGATGATTTTGAGGATGATTTCGATGGCAGGAGGAGGAGGGCGGCGGTGTGCTGGTGAAGCTGTCGTAGCGGGACTGTACATGCTTCCTTCTGATGATCTGGTGATGAGGCGCCGGTCTGCAGAATGGCCACCTGGTTCAGCGGAAGGTCATCGAGGAGGTTGCGCTTCGTAGGGAAAAAGAGCTGACCAAGTCGGTGGGTGGCCTTTCGGCCGAAGAGGCGGATGTGGTGAAGCTGGAAGCTAGGATCAACAAGGCGCAGCTCTCCAAAACCAGGCAGGCTTTCTATGAGCTGCTGCTGCTGCGAAGAGTTTTCATCGGTGGCAGCAGTAGTGCTGAACAGGTTGCTGACCGCCTCCTTGATCTGAACGTGGGCGTTCACCAGAAGGTAGAACTTATCCTCCTCCTCTTCCTCTTTGAAGTAGGTAATCTGTAGAGGGCCGATCAGCTCCACTGGCCACCGGCAAGGGGCGTACAGGTCGACGGTGATGGTTTGCCCTTTTCCTTCACTCCCTGTTACCAGCTCCCTCAATCTGGCCCCATCTTCAGGCGAGAGAAAGTGGGCGAGGTAGTCGAGGGCGGCCAGCTCCTTCCGCTCACCGCTTCCCTCCAGCAGGTAGGAGCAACGAAAGGGCAGGTAGAAGAGGCTGTAGCCCGCTTTGCTGCACCGGTAGAGCGTCCGCTGGTTCTTGACGTTGTTCTTCAGCGGCATCAGCTGGCCCCAGCTGAGGTGAAGCTTGAAACGTTTGGCGAACCACAAGTGAAGCGGTGTACGGAGAGGGTTGGCGTTCCGGCGCTTCACATGCTCACTCTTTGATTTCTTCCTCTTCTTTCGAGGCTGGTTCTGATCACCTGCTCCACCGGCCGCCTTCTTCTTCTTCGATGTTTGCTGATTTCCACCACCAGAGTTGAAGGAGTTACCGCCATGCTGCTGCTGCAGCGCCTTGGGCATTCGCTTTGGGTTGTTGCTGGCCGCTCGACGTCGCATGTGGCGTGGAATCCGCTGCAGCGTCTGCTTGCAGGCCTTCGTCTTGCATTGCCGCTTCAGCGAGTGAATCTCCACGATGTGGCTGTTGATCAGTCGGTGGATGTTGATCTCTGCAAGAAGGAGTAGTGGATTAGAAAATTGTTTAACCAATGGACTGCTGTTTCTGTTTACCATCTGGAATGTCACGAGCAGCCATGATGCTGGATTGAGGATTAGGAAAAGAATCTTCTTCAAGAATTCTAAGGATTCAGATCAGAGGTAAAAGAAAAAACATTGCATCACACACGTGAGTTTTTGCCGAGCGACGGTAGCGCCACCTCCGCTGCTGCTGTTGCCGCTGTTGTGTTTGCGTGATTTTCCCTAACGGTTTGTTTTGAAGAAAGATCTTCTCTTTTGGACTTTCTCTTTGGACTTTGACCTTGCTCGACCACCACTTCCGGACACTGAACAGACAGAAGGAAGAAGAAGATGTCCTCCCTGAAGGTGATCAACCTGGGCCGGCTCGCCTACCCGCGGGCCCTTTACATTCAGCAGCAGCTCTTTGAGAGGGTGAAGCAGGGCTCGATTTCACCGGGTGCTCCAAACCCAAACCCAAACAGCCCAAACTACCTCCTCCTGGTTGAGCACGACCCCGTCTACACCGTGGGCATCCGCAGTCGGCAGTACCTGGAGGCCGATCCCGAGGAGATCGCCAAGCTTCGCCGCCTGGGCGCCGACTTTCAGGTCACAAACCGCGGCGGCCTCATAACCTTCCACGGCCCCGGCCAGCTGGTCGCCTATCCGATACTGAATCTGGCCGCCTTCCCCTCCACCCAGCGGAGCATCAAGCGCTTCGTCTGCCTCCTCGAGTCGGTCCTCATCGACGTCTGCGCGGACCTAAAAGTGCCCGCCGACCGCCTTCACCCTCACCCGGGCGTCTGGGTGGGCGCCAGCCGAAAGATCGCCGCCATCGGCATCCACGCCAGCAAGTACGTGACAATGCACGGCGTGGCGCTCAATTGCAACCTCTCCCTGGACTGGTACCGCCACATTGTGCCCTGCGGCATCGAGGGCAAGGGCGTCACCTCGCTGGCGGCCGAGCTGGGCAGGGATGTCCCGGTGACCGAGGTGGCGCCCCTCTTTGTGGAGCACTTTACCCGGCGGTTGCTGATGCCTGCCAAAGTGGAAGAAGATGGTGATAATGGAAAGCAGTGTCAAGTGGATCAAGTCGTCAATGTCTAGTCTAGTCAAAATGACCCTCTCCTGAGCCCCATTCCACTTTAGTCGCCAAGCTGAGCTTGATGTTTTTATTACGTGGACTTTTCCTCTTTCCCCTCCTTCAAGCCGATTAAATACT